AATTGCAAATCGCGAGTGTCGGGCAAATCGATTTATCGCGAGAACCGCACCGCGGGGACGGCTGAAGGCCCAGGCATCTGCTTAGCGTTACGCGACTGCGGAACTAGCGCGCGGGTATCTTTCATCGGCACTCGCGCGTATCATAATAGCCCCCGCCGCCCTTATCGATGCGCCTCGGATAAAGCCAACAACCGACTGTACACTCTCTCCTCGGAGAGATTAATCTATAAATAACTGCGGCCAACAGCAGCAGCAGCAACTCTGCGAAGAAACCTTTGGAGTTAACTCCTTCCGAGAAGCACTTCTTGGCGAATGTGTATAAGATGTATAAAATTCCATGATGCCCTCTCTCGGTCTCGAAAAAAGAAACGAATTAAAAAGTCTCCGAGCGCAGGCGAGAAAAGGGGATTAAAGTCGCGATCGAGGACGCGTTCCAGTTAAAAGTGGCCGCCAGATGGAAAAATCGCGACTCTGCCAATCATCGGCGGCTTGTCATAACCGATCTTTACGCCTCGCTTGATAATTATTGTAGCCGTGCGGATTTCCCGCGGAGAAGAAAAAATCCTCGGCGCAAACAGCGTTATGCTTTTAATCTTTCGCAAATAAAAGAAGCAGAACGACATTCGAGAATTTACCGCGCGATGATTCGCTGCCGGATTGATATTTCGTGGGGGGATCGATCCTTATACCAGTTTTTCTTACGCCGAGCCGTACTCGGACGTAAACGACGGACAAATCACCTCGCTCCAACTATTCATTAAATATAAGTGCGTTATTAATGACTTGACGGGCCAGCTGGCCAGCTGCAATTCCCTCGCGATAACTCGTATTACTTCACTTGTTTATGCGCCCGATGCGCGTGGATATGTGCAAGCTACAGCTGCAATAATGTATTGCAAGATTTGATTTGTTTTCATTGTAAGCTCGACACTCGAGCTTCTTTCTTTGATTAAGGCGTATGCAAATATTGTCCAATGCGCAGCGAACAATCGCAACAAGTCGTAATTAGCCTTGCGACGATGATCATTACTACTTTGCAATTGGAAAATAATAATTATAAAAGAAGTTTACGACGGGTCGATTGTTCGCCGATAAAAACCGCGAGCCCTTGCAAATGCAACAAGTGCCTATAAATAACCAGATCAAACGATGAATTTAAAGATACGATCAAAAGAATAATATAAAACGCGATGAATGCATGTTTAAAGGCCGCGCGCACAACGTGTTCTCGTGCGAAAAAATGACGGAGCAGGAGGAGGAGCAGGAGGCAAAGCAACGATAGCTTACTTTAAATAGCCAACGGATGACTATTCAGTCTGCGGCACATCCCGCGTGCACCGTTCCCGCGCGATCAGCCAACACGATCACGTACGCCAACAGCTGCGGCTCCATAATGCATCGCGCGCGCCCGATAAGCATCGCGCGTCAATCGTTTCTGTTCCGGGCGGCGCGCTGCCCATCGCCAATGACTGGACCGTCGCGCGTCAAAATTCGCTTCCCCGGCTAAATCTAGCAGACCCGGTCGCGCGCGTCTCCGCTTCTCTCGCGTCGGCGCCGCGCGGCATTTTGCCGCGTGCTCGCGAGCTTTCGTTCGCTCGACAAGTCGATTATTCGATTATTTATTACTCGCTCGGCCGACCATTTGCATAATAGGTTTTTGCGCTCTCGGACGAAAATCCGCCGTTTTATTTTTTTTTCTTCCTCCGTCTCTCTATCTCGTGCGCACGTGTGCCACGACAGCGGCGGAGCTTTATCGTCGCGCGGATATATTTTTGAGTCGCCTGTTATGTGTCATGCTTACTAAATTGGCCATTCCAATGCCTCAAGTCTGCTCGCACAATGAATAACGCTATTAATTTGGACGACGAGTCTTGATCTTTTTATTCAGTTTATTCGACGAGGCCGACGCGGAGATCGTTGGACTGAAAAATAACTACTATTGTTATTGTAAAATCTCTCAGCACGACTGTCCTAAAAGGAAAGATCTCTATAATTTTTATCTTTCTCCCTCTCCCACTCTCCAATTCTTGAAATATCGAAACAACAGTGTTCCCGAGTTAAATACATTAATTCGCTCACATTTATTTCACAACTGATCTGAAGCACGATTATATCCCTGAGATCAAAAGTCTTCCTTAAAAACTATCAGTTTCTCAAGTCATATTTATCATTGATAATTTATTCATGGATGCAAATACTTGTAGAAACAGTTTTTCGAAAACAACGTAATCATCCGACTGTCGGTATCCTAAGTAAATAACTTCTTCGCGGCGAGCGAGGAAAAAAAGTGTGATCGGTCAATCAAATTTTTCAACTCAATTATCACGCCCTTGAGTAACGGATACGCATAGAACGCATAAAAGAGAGAGAGAGAGGGAGAGAGAGAGAGGCACGATTTATCCTTTAACGCGCAAGTTAAATAAACAATCAACAGCGAGCTCGAGCGATCCCGACAAAGCTAACGTCAAAATTCTCGAAAGGTGAAATAAAAGGGAACCGAGCGGTAATCCCAGGCGCGTCATAGTGACGCGCTGTTATCCTTTTTTTCTTTTTTTTTGTCCGCCACGTTATATTATCATAAGAAATCGCATGGCGAACGTACAATTACCGCTGGCTCGCTTGCGGGACCACCACGCCGAAGAAAAATACGGCCGAGCGCGCGAGAGAGGCTCGCGGGCGCGCGCCTCTCCGTTTATTATTCAAGGCATGCATTTCTCTGGCAGCGAGCGTGCTCTCGCTTTTCACGGCGAGCCGCGGCTGCAATCCCTCCTCCTCCTCCTCCTCCTCCTCCCACGCACTCTCGATCTCATTGAAAGCAGGCATTGTGAGTTGTTGTTTGGCCGCCGGCTGTTGGTACACCGTAAAAGGAAATAACACGCGCGACACGGGCCGCGCGGCTTCGCTTTTTTCTCCCCCCCCCCCCCCCCGCCATTCCCTTTCTTTTCGTTGCTTGCGCTTCTTCTTTCCCTTTGAGCACCCTCTCGCGCGCCACAATGCCCGCACTTGATTCTCTGTTTCTCGGAGTGCAATGCGCGCGAGTTGATTTGTTGGGCGCGCAAACGCTGTTGCGCGATACACGGAGGCGGCGACCGCGCAGCTTTATCTTTCGGCGGCGCTTTCGCGCCCGTCCCGCGCGCTGCCCAGTGTCAAGGTCCTCGAGCTCCCGATCTCCAATTTAAGCTCGATCCGCTCGCATTTTATCGATCCCAGCGACGCAAGGCTGCCTTTTTTTTCACGACGCGTTCTAATAATAGCCGCCTCGGGCGAGCGACGCGGCTGCGTAGCGCGTCAATCGAAAAGAAGAGTTATCGACGAGCGGTCTTAGAACCAGTAGCTCGGCTCGCGCCTAGTAGGACCTTAACCTTGACGGAGAGCAATTTTCGTGCGCGCGAGGCCTTCTGATTCATTCGCGCGTTGCGCGAGAGTGGCTCCTTTCAAAACAGTCCTCGTTCGGTCAAATGTTCCTCGCCATAAATGTGCCGAAAAATTAGACTCGAACACGGGCGCTGGCCTTTAATGAGGCGAGCAAAAGGCCTCGTTTGTACTTCGACTCGTTGCCCGCGCCCCTTTTCGTCTCGACACATCCGAGTGTGTACGTAGATCGACAAGCGCTATCAGTCGTCGGGGGCACTGCCAAATCAGGCGTTATGTGTAGCGTGGCTTTGTTCCTTCGTACGCGCACTAGCGAGAGAGCCGAGACAGACATTGACGAGGCCCTACATGGCAAGTCGATTACATCGTCGTTGCTGTCGTCGTTCTCGCTCTGCGCATTTCGTAAATCAGCCGAGAGCAATTTAATCATCTAACATTTTTACCAAAGCTTCTATATATAGCCCGGCGTCGAGAAACAGCGTGCTTTTTACCTCTTCGTCCCCCCAAATTCTCACTCTTGCAATTAAATATGTAGGCCAGAAGCGTACCCCCCCCCTCCCCCCACCACCTCTCTCCACGACTGGAGATTCGGAAAACAACAAATGGATTCAATTAATCGTGGCGTTTTTATTAAAGCAGACTCACGAGCTGAAAATCGAATGGTCGCGGCAGCGGCATTAGGCAGCGCACTTCTCGTGATTAGCAAATCATCCATACGTAACGTCGTCGTCGCAACTGCATCACGACGTACACTTAAAATACAAATGAAACTGTGAGAAAAGAGAGCTCAGAGCTCGCAGTCTCGCTGGTCGCGCGCGGCCAGCTTCTGGCAGACCTTTTATTAAAATAGATTAACAGCTCGGTATAACTATTAGGGAAAATAATAGCCGTGGCGCGGACGCTTCGGTCGCTAGTGTGCGCCACACGAGCGGGCAAAATAGACGTTTTATCGGACGGGTAGAAGAGTCGCTGCGGAGCCTATAGCGCGGCTGATGAATAATCGATGAGCCTCTCTCGGCAGAGCGCACGAGGCAAAATTTACGTTTTCGATTTTGAATATTCGATTAGCGCGGCTGCCGCTGCTGCTGCTGCTGCCGCCGCCGCCGCTACTGCAACCTAGACCTTCCTCTCTCTCCCGCGCGCGCGCGAACGAGCGAGCTGCAGCTCGGCTGAGATCGTAAATCAGGCGCAACATCTCTCGCTCGTGGGAAATCCGCGAGATTCTTTATCCGGCTTGTTGGTTGCGCGCGCGGGAGAGAGAGAGAGAGCAGACGCCACAAAGCTTTTGTGGAATAGCCAATGACGGAACCGGAAGGACGCCGCGCTGTACGTGTATACAGAGAGAGAGAGAGAGAGAGAGAGAGAGAGAGAGAGAGAGAGAGAAAGAGAGAGAAGATGGCCCAGAAAATTGTGCCTGATAGAGATTTTTTTGGGCAAAACGGTCAAGCACGCTCTGGCGCGATATCTGATGCGACATTGTTGCCGTGATACAAGGCAAACGGGTCAGATCGAGCTCCAGGACAAAGTCCGTATTCGCCTCGATTTCGGGAAAATCTTTGTAGAGCGATCGTTAATTCGTCAACCGGGCGATGCGCGTGAAGTAATGGTGGGCTCGATGTGCGTTGCAGATCGACACGAGCGTCTCCACCACAAATGCAGTTGGATCACGGGCAGCAAAGGCAACGGCAGCAGCATGGACTCCAACGTTGGTCTCGACTACATTGTGGACAATCCCGACTACTGCAACAAGCTCGCTTCCGGTAAGCTTATCTCCGGCAAGGCTCTGCTTTAGATTATCCTCTCGCGGCAGCGGCGGCAGCAGCAGCAGCAGAGAGAATAACCGTTACGTAAACCGTTTACGACTACGTTGCAGCTTTGGACACGGCCTGTCCATCGGTGAAGAAGCAAGTCGTCGAATTGCTCTCAGCCCTCTGCGTCTACAGCCAGGACGGCCGACAGCGCGCCATCGACACTCTGCACATTCACCAGGTACATCGTGATTAAGGATTACGGCCGCCGCGGCTCTCGCGCGATAGATCGTAAATTCCTCGCGGCCAGCTGCGACGCGCTCACGCCAACGTTATCGCCTCTCGGCCGACTGCAGCGTGCAGCTCTGCCCCCCCCCCCCCCGCCCACTCCTGCTCGTTCCTTCTCCGATTCCAGCGCGACTTGATTCTCGCTCGCGCACGCTAATAATCCCGTTGGCGACGAGCCGTCGACGCAGCATCGCTGGTCGCGGCTCGAGTGCCGGCGCGCGTAACGGACAGTACGCTGCGTCCAGGGTCCGTCGATCGCAAGCCCGAGCAGCGCTGCGACCGTCGTTCGGCGAGAACTTGACGAACCCGACCAATAGAGCGCCGGGTCGCGCCGCGCGGGCCAACGACGAGCGCGGCAATGGAACGATGACTAACGGTGCTTGCGTGCTTGCGCAGGAGCGCAAAGGTGAGCGCTACCGGCTGCGAGTGGTGGTCGACGAGCTGCGCCAGGCAAGCGCCGAGGACTACCAGACTGCACTGCTGGCATTCATCAACTGTCTAGTCATTTCTGCGCCGGTCCTCAAGGACCGCGTCAGGATTAGGAATGAGTTCATCGGTAAGTCACCGACATACACATCGCGGTTTTCTCAATCCCGGTTGGCCCGGTCAAAACGGCAATTTCGAGCAAACGGCGATGACGACGACTATGATGCGGTGACGGCGTTGATGGGTCGACTCGGACCACGATTTCCTCTCCCTTTGTTCTCGGGCTGTGTATCTCGCTTGTGTTCTATGGTGATTTCGGGGGACGAGTAATTGAGATTTAACGCTGATTTATTTCCACTTTAGCTGCCACGGCTCTTTCTCCGTCCAGAGACGATTCAATTCTAACTTATTGATTTCGTCGAGCAGTTCTTTGACGCATCGAATTACGACCCGAAGCACGGCCAGTCGAAACAAACGTTCTCGTCGAATCGCGAACAAGATACGCGGAATAAACGACGATGTCCGAGTTGGCTCATGCGCATGCGTCTCACTCGCCAAGAGCTTTTCGCTAGTTTATTATTGGAGCGTGTCGATGTAATTGTTTTAACGTAATTGCTTTTGCAGGTCTGAAGCTGCTGCCGATCCTCAACGATCTTCGGTGAGTAACGCGAGTATCAACGATCTCTAATTTCACGGCGTGAGCTCCGTCCGTTCGTCCGCCTGTCTGCTGAGATAATACGCTCAAGAATGTCGAGCAATAAACGCTACCGTCGGCGGAACTCGCCCGCTCGTTGCGCGAACAACAGGCGAGAGGCTCTTCGCGAGTCGTCTCGCTCACGAGGCTCCAATAACATTCGGTCGGCAATAACAAACACCGTTGAGCCGCCACTCGCGCTCGCGTGCAACATCAAAGGCGCACGTTTCGGACGTGACAAAAACGGGAAAGCCCGTGCATCGACGAGTCGCGAGAGCGCCGGCAGGAGGAAAGCAGCCGCGAGAGCTCGGATCGATCGGCGCGAGCGACGAGAGCCGGAAATTGGGAAGCGGCGTATCGGCGCATCGTCTTGACTCCTCCGCCCCATCCCGTCGCATTATTTCCGTGTAGCGGCGTCCCGGGCTCGTCGAATTCCAAGCGCGATCCGCCGCTCCGCCTGGCACTTGGTTGCCCGCGATGGGTGTTCGGTCGGCGAGAGCGACAGCGCGGCGATCGGAGAGCGCGCTCGTCTAGTCGCGAACGACCGGGCGCAAAGAAAGCACGTGGACGGGGGCCGATGCACCGCGCGAGAGCGCCTGGGCGACGGACTGAGAAATAGAATCGGTAGTTGCATTCCTAGTGACCTTTGGGGAGAAGTCTCTAGGGAGCGAGTGAGACTCGCGGCGGAGAGCGCGCGTCCCGAATTAGCCCGCGCGGCACGGCGGCACGGCGGCACGGCGGCACGGCGGCACGGCGGCGCGAGCGAGAGAGAGAGGAGGATGCACCTGCGAGGGCAACGACGACGGACGACGCGAACGAGCGGCTGGAAGAGCGGCCGCGGCGATAGCGCCTCAGTCTCGGGTTCTCCAGTGGCGAGCGCACACACGCTTCCGCGTACGATCCGCAGACACGCTCGGCTGCTCGCCCCTTTCGTCCGCTATGCCAGCGCTCGGATAAGACGCCTTCGCGGGGCCGATATCGCCGCGCGCGCGCTGCCGCGTTTCCGGTCGCCAGTGTGCTTTCCGCAGCGAGCGAGCGAGCAGCAACAGCAGCAGCAGCAGCGCGGCCATTCGCTTTGTATATGGGAGTGCGCGCGTGTGGGTGCGTATTCTTTTCCATGGGCGCGCGATTCCCTTCTTCCATGCGCTCCCACTTCTTTTTCCGGCGCGTTCGTGGGCGCCGCGGATGATTGCGGGCCGCCGCGTCCGCGCGGGCACCGGCCGGGAGCGCGCTGCGCTACAAGCGCCGCTGCCGTCGCGGGCGTATGGAAAAGTCATTGTTGTTGTAACCGCCTTTTTTCTCCGGCGAGTGCGCCTAGCCGAGCCGACGAGTGTGGTGTAATCCTCGTGCGCGCGCGCGCGCGCTCAACGATTCCGATCGAGGCCCCGCTTATAGCGCCTTTCCTCCGACTGGCGCCGTGGCTGCAGCGCCCGTCGTTTCTTAATTCTAACTACGCTCGCTCTTCAAAATTAGAATACTACGGCTCTGCGGCGACTCGCCTGCGTGAAGTGTGTGTGTATGTGTGTGTGTGCGTGCATGCACGCGCGTGTGCGTGAGAGAGAGAGAGAGAGAGAGAGAGAGCGAACTTTTCAAGTAAATTTCTGCCGACGAGCGAGCATTTGCGGAAACCAGATTCGAGATTAAACATAGTAGGTAGGTAGGTGCACCCAAGCAAGTTTTCGTATGATTCACTCGCGAGCTAGGCCTGGCTGCTTTCGTGGCTGCGTAGTAAAGCCGGAGAGCGAGAGGGTGGTTATATTTAAAATAACCGCCCTAAAATAAGCATTAAGATATCTGTCAGTGTCCGCGCCGCTGTCGCGGTGCAGGTCGCGCGCGAGACCGAAAAATACCATAGAATGAAATGCCATTCCTTGCCGCCTCGGAACAATACTTGTACAGACAATCGGAACGCCCGGGCGCGTCTTCATCCAATTTTTCTTGTCTTTTTCTTTTATTTTATTTCTTTCTCGTCACTTCCGACCGATCCCTCTCCCGCTTGCCGTCCCTCGTATCCACAGTCCTCGTGTACGCGTGCGCGCTCGATCGGGCTAATTAGATCGGCAATTTGCAATTTCCTCTAATAGTCGTCGCTCTCTCGCGCGTGAGAGCATGAACACAATGCAATCGCGCGCGTACCTGGCGTCTTGCCGCCGCTGCGCCACGGCGATAAACTTTGACGAGACTTCCTGGGCAAGGATCATTAAAGCCCGGAGCGATTATACGACGCGACAGCGTCATCTCGGGGGGAGAGAGAGGGAGAGAGAGACATTTATCCCTGGGCCGAAACATCGATCAACGAGGCTGACAACGGGGCAGGCAGAAACAGAAGCACGCGACAAATCGATCGATAGCTCGCGCATGTGAAATATTTAGCGGCGGCGAGTGCCAATCTACAGGTATAGGAGAGCGAGGAGTACGCGCACAAACGGCGTATAAGTCATTCGCGGTCCGTCAATTTTTCCCCGAGACAATGGCTCCTGCATACACCGCGGCTTACAAAATATGCCGCCTTTCCGTTACCGCCACCGACTCGATCGCACGTCCACATAGTAGTAGTAGTGGTAACGGTGGTCGCTCGTTCAATGCCTCTCTCTCTCTCTCTCTCTCTCTCTCTCTCTCTCTCTCTCTCTCTCTCTCTTACTCTTCGCCGTGTGTTTAGTTTAAGTTGGCTTTAACTGCGTTCATCCGGCGCGCATCATTGTCAGTCGACTTAGGTGTTCACCGTCACAGCCGTGACAGAAATCCCGGAGCGAGTCCTCCGTACGTGCGTGTCCGGTTCGCTGGCGCGCTTCGGTTCCTTTCTGCCAGTCCTTTGCGAAAGCAAGAAAGCTCGCCGAGCGCACGGCAATGGTGTCGCCCGAGTGCGATGAGTTTGTCGAAAGTTGTTGTGCCGTCGTCAGTGTTCGAACGTTTGTCTTTTAGAAAGGACAAGAACCACGTGCCGGACTTGAGGGTGCAGCTGGACGTGTTCGACGACCAGCGGGACACGGACGAGGAGCTATCCAATCAGGGCCCACCGGGCATCGACTTGTCGTCGCACGTCGATGTCTTCTATGCCATTCTCGGACAGGTGAGGCCCGCGATTTCCGCGAAACTGACGATGCGCACATATGTGAGTGTGTTTGCACGCGCAGGTCGCAGACACGCCACAGGAGATCCCATTCCTGAGCATACTGCAGCACCTGTTGCGACTTGATCCGAAGGAGCCGGCAAGCGATCTTGCCTGGGACATCGCCGAGACGCTGGTTCATCGAGCTACCTTACTTGAGAGCCGGGAGGATGCTACCAAACTCCTGAGGTCGCCTAGCTTACAGGTATCTTCTTTGTCTCTGCCTTCAACGTGCTTCGACTTCCAAAGGTCAATATGTATGACTTGACCAACTCTATACCATCGGCGGATATGACCTCACCGTTTCATTATTGGCCACAATGGGCATCGAAATTAATTGACCGTTACCAAACATCGCGGTTCACAGAGATCTCGGACATTGCATTACAATTATCATTGTAATCTCAAGTTGCAAGTAATTCAGCCTGTTTCTCCACGATTCACAAGTCCAACTTACTTTCCTGCCGAATTTTCCACTGGCTATGACAAGAAATCGTTATCTACGATTATTCGGCTATAGTTTCAGTCGTGTCATTTCTAAATTCGTGCCCATAGCTGTGGCTTTTATATGCGCATACAAAGATCAAAAGAAAAACGCCAGCGGCAAGATGTCCTTGAAGGTTCGATAATCATTTCGGACGTCGAATGCTTAAGTATGTAAATTGGCATAGACGTATAAAACTTTTTCGCGCGCAGATCGTTAAAAATCGGGGTTTTCATTGCATTCACACCCATCGTATTCAGGCACATAAACGAAGACGGTTTTTAATTTTTTTTTCTTATTAATTGAGAGTTTCGATGGGAAAAAATCTGCCAAGCTACTGCTATTTGGTCATTTACTACGATCAAAAGGTTATATTCATTTCGCAACGCGTTCCTTAGAAACCTCACTTTGAGACCTATTAAGCACATTAAAGCGACGATGTGAATTAATTTTACGAGCTGGAAATAGATATTAGCCGCAGTAATCCTTTGAGCCTGTACCATATATACTTGTAGATGTCTAGTCTGTGTAGTGACGCAACGACCAAAATGCTTTCTATTGCCAACTCTAATGGGTTTTTAATTCACGTACGTGTCATGATGTCAACCGTGCGCGCACGATGATCATAATAATCGTATTGCGCGCTACAGATGGTGAGAGTATATTCTCTCTCTCTCTCTCTCTCTCTCTCTCTCTGTGAGAGAGTTGGCCGAGACAGAGAGGACGGGACGAAAGAAAAAAAATCAGTCACGGCTGAGCTAGTCGCACGGAATGTATATATCTATAAATTCTAAAGATGTAAAGTAGAAAGTTCCGGTAGAGTGAGACCTGCGCGCTGGCGTCGTGCACTGCACGTCCATCCCGCGCGAGCAATTTCTAACGCATTCATCTCAATCTCCTTAGCCCGACTGACTCGATACGATAAAATAATAAAAGCAGCAGTCCGCGATATTACTGCATTAGCAGCGACGGGGCGCGCGATTATCCAACCGTTCGCTCTCGCCCTGGCTTGCGAGCTGCACCGCTACAACTTTCTCATACGTACGTGTAGCGCGAACGATAGATGCTTGTCTCACGAGACGCGTGATTTTCCGCAGACGAACCTATGCTGTCACTGCCGAGGAAACGACCAGACCTGCGGCGTCGGCGGCGGCGGCCGCAAGTCCTCGGTGCCCACGACGACGGCCACGCTCAACGGCACCGCCACGTCGCCGACTGTTGCTGGCGGCGGCGGCGGTGGCGGGGGTCCGGTGCCGCCGCCGCCACCGCCGGCCCTCGTGCTGCCGCCGCCGCCGCCGCCGCTGCTCGCGCCTAGTGGCCCCGCCGCGGGAGGAGGAGGACCGCCACCGCCGCCTCCCGGCGCGCTAATGATGACGATGATGGAGCCGCCGCCGATGCCACCGCCGCTCCTTCGCACGGCCAGCCGCGTGCCGACCCCCGAGCCTCCCAGCAACAGCGCCAAGCTGCTGCCGCAACAGGAGATTCCTACGCCCAAGGCCAAGATGAAGACCATCAATTGGAACAAAATCCCAAACCACAAGGTATGAACGGGGCCGCGGCTGCGACGTGCCCGTTGACGATGGCGCGTGACCGGCGCGGATTGATCGCAGGTGATCGGCAAGAGGAACATTTGGTCGCTAGTGGCCAACGATCATCAGAACTCGCCGATGGCTGACCTGGATTGGGCCGAGATGGAGGGCCTATTTTGTCAGCAGGTGCCGCCGATCGCGCCAGCCAACTCCGCCTGCGCCAACAGCGCCGGCAGCGGAGCAGAGGCCGATAAGAGGCGCCGCGAGCCCACGGAAGTAAGTCCAACGGCGGCTTTATCGGCCGACTCGAATATTTGAGGCGAGATGCGCTGTCTCTCGCTCGACGAGCGGGACGCCGTGAAAATAGCTCTCAGCGGCGTGCGCGTGTCGCTCGAAAGGGGAGAGGCAGCGCGCAGCCAACTCGCCGATAACGAGGCAGCAAAGAAGCTTCGACGCCGATTAATGGCCGGGCCGTTTGCTTGAATTTCAGATCGCACTGCTGGACGGCAAGAGGAGCCTGAACGTCAACATATTTCTGAAGCAGTTCAGGAGGTAACGAGCCCGAACCCATTCCGAGTCTCGGTCCGCGCTCTCGAAAATGTGCCCAGGCGCGTTACGCAAGCGCGCGGTGTCGTCAGTCGAGGGCGCACAACGCGCGCGCGCAGCACCGAAATACAATGGGGCAGCGCGCGCTCGGCAGTTTCTAAAATCGGACGTTTGTTGTTATTGCGGCGGTGGCGGCAGCTCGAACGAGGACATCATTCAGCTAATCAGGGACGGCGGCCACGACGATATAGGCGCCGAGAAGCTGAGGGGTCTGCTGAAAATCTTGCCCGAGGTCGACGAACTCGAGATGCTCAAGGGCTTCGACGGCGACAAGTCGAAGCTCGGCAACGCCGAGAAGTTCTTCCTGCAGCTCATTCAAGTACCAAAGTGCGTATGGCCGTTGCTTTTGTTGTCATAACAGAGCTGATAACGCGCGCACCTCGGCCGCGACAGAGAGCAGCAGAGCTCTCTCTCTCTCTCTCTCTCTCTCTCTCTCTCTGCGTAGGTATATGCCGAGTGGGCGCCTACTCGCGCTCCAGTAAAAATAGCGGCTGCTCGCGCTTTCTTTAGGGAACGAACACAAATATTTTACCGGAAGCGCGAGATATATATTTTAGCGCAATGACAGCCATAGGCAGCTCGGCCCGTCGCTCCGTCGGGTTTAATGACTTGTCTCCTTTTTCTCGCTCGCTCGCTCGCTCGCTCGTTCGCAGTTATAAGCTGCGAATCGAGTGTATGCTGCTCAAGGAGGAGTTCGCGGCGAACATGAGTTACCTTGAACCAAGTATCAATTCTATGATCCTCGCTGGCGAGGACCTCATGACCAACAAACCCTTGCAAGAGGTGCTCTACATGGTGTTGGTTGCTGGCAACTTTTTGAATTCGGTGAGCCCCGCCACCTCCTTATTCGTTTGCCGATCTGCACTCGCTTAACTTTTCGATTGCTGGACAGGGCGGCTACGCAGGAAATGCCGCCGGCGTCAAGCTGTCGTCCCTTCAGAAATTAACGGAGATCCGAGCCAACAAGCCCGGAATGAATCTCATACACTACGTGGCGATGGTTCGTCGGAGAACGATTGTAGTAAGTCACCGCTATTCGACGCGTGCTTTAAAACGACATTCTTTTCCGTCGCAGCAAGCGGAGCGCAAGAGGAAGGATCTGCTGAACTTTGCCGGGAACCTGAATGCCTTGGACTCGGCTACCAAGTGAGTACTCTGTCTCTCGTTCGACGGTAGCGATTGGCAATTTCTCACGACATTTCTCGTAACGCCGCGTCGCAGAACGACGATCGAGCAGCTGACGAACGAGTTCAACGCGCTCGACACGCGGATAAAGAAAATCAGCAGTCAGATCGAGCTTCCGACCACTGAGACGGACATTCAGGGACAAATGGCTCAGTTCTTGGCGATGGCCGAGCAGGAAATGGCCCAGCTCAAACGCGACATGGAAGAGTTGGACGCGGTGCGCCGTAGCCTCGCCGAGTTCTTCTGCGAAGACTCCAATACCTTTAAAATTGAGGAGTGCTTCAAGATCTTCCATCAGTTCTGCCAGAAATTCAATCAGGCGGTGGCGGAAAACGAGAGGCGGCGCATACAGGAGGAGCAGGTGCTTGCCAGAAGGAAGCAGAGGGAAGAGCAATTGCTCGCCAAGAAACGGCTGCGTGAGTATTGAGCGAGACAGACAACATCTCAGGAGCTGAAAGTGATTGCTTTTTCTTTTGGCACGACTGGCGTCTGCAGTGAGCAGCCAAGCGGAAACGCCGAATTCCGAGACAGACTCCTACTTTATGGACTACAGCTCCTTGGAGAACGGCACGAACGGCACGAACGGCATGCCCCAAAAGTCTTACGGCCGCGACGCCAAGGTCGGTGTTTTTGCTCTTCGGAGAACCACTTGAAAATGGTATTTGTAATATACGTAAGCGAGCTTGTTGCTATCGTTTTCAGGTAAAAAGACTGCAGAACGGCATGGGCACGTCCGAAGAGGATGTGTCGGTTACCGGTTCGCCCAGTCTTCGACGACGCTTGGGCTCTTGCTCGGGCGGTCCCGATCAGCTCTCTACCAAAGAAGATACTTATTCGCCAGGTGAAACACCTCTCTGCCCGGGCTCTCCGCTCTCTATTCCTCCAAACTCACACTTGTCAATTCATCCGCCGTGATCTACTTCGCAGATGTAACGCCAAATGGAACCTTACGTCGTAGAAGAAGTCGCATCCCGTGCGAAGATGACGACAACAATTTGATGGACTTTTTGCGCACGACCGGTCAGGACAACGCGCGAGAAAGAAAGTCTTGGGGTAGCTTGGATCGCTCGTGGGCCAAGCGAGCGCGCGGCCAGCCACGCAGAGGCGATCTGTTGAACGCCGATTTCTCCGGTGACCGCGAGAGGCCCAGCTCGCCGTCGCCGCTCGTCGAGACCAAACCCTTCGTCGGCCAGGAGGAGGAGAGCAAGCCGACGGGGTAAGCCGCTGCCGAGGCAGCCCCGTCATTTCCCTCGATTCGCGAGTAAAAGTAATCGTATCGTTTGGCGAAGCAGAAAAGCCTGGAGACAAAAGATCGAGGCTTGGCTCACGGAGAACGAGAAAGAGGAGCGCGCCGGAGAGGAGCTTCAGCGAAAGACTAGGCAACGACAAGCCAATCGCCGGTCCTTCGAAGATTCAGGTAGAGATTGAGTTTAGAATAGGCGCTTTGTCGCGATGTTCGCGTTGCTAATCGTCCCGACGCATTCGCAGAGAACGAGGGCAAAGGTTCGCAGCCGAACTCTCTCGCCGAAGAGAACTCGTCGAGTGATAAATACCAAAAATACGACTGGCGTCCGTCCGTGGAGAAAACCGACGTGATGCGAACGATGGAAGCCATCGAAGGTAACTCACAGCTCACAGCTCCGAGCGCAAGGCGTTCGCCGTCGACTTTTGTTCGTACCTCATTCAAAAACACAATTTTCCGATGATCCGTCAGAAGCGCAACCCGCATCGTCGCAAAAAGACAAATCCCCATGGAGAAAGTCCAGTCTGAACGTTCCGAGCAGTCTTGAGGAGAGCGATCCCCGATATTCTCGCAGACATCGCTCTCGTTATAATCAAGACAATATCTTGGGATCGAGCACCCTTCAAGTACGATTACAAAACTATTCGATTAAGCATCACGGACTGGAATGTTTTTCTTGAGCCCAGTCGGCGGCGTCGTGTGCGATTCGCTCGACTGCGCGTAACAGCTCACGAAAGAATTCCATCCCAAGAGTGAAACTTGACTCTTGGGATTCCGATTCCGATGCCAAACGACTGGCGAAACGCGAATAATGGGAAAACCACTGCTTCAGGCGATCCGAGAGGAGGAGCGTAAAAAGAAGGCACCAGAGCCGGCGGACAGCGGCGTCGACGAGTTGACCATTTACCTGCGCACCCCGGCGCCGAGCGCTCAGCAACAACCCACGTCTCGCAGGGTTTCGCAGCTGAGCAGGCGCAGCAATGCCGAGCAATGCTCGGAGATGACTCCGAGCGACAAGATTGAAATCGACTCGGATAACATCGAGACGCCACCGGCCACGAGGAGACTGTTCAGCCCGCCCAAAGACCTCAAACTTGCCGACAAGGACAGCACACCGAAGCGAGATCGCACGCTCGGCGCCACGACCACGCCTGCTCGGGAGGTCGACAGCTCGTACACGGACCTCGGAAGTGGTACGTTAACGCGTTGGACGCGAATTCGGCACGCTGCGATCGGTGACGGCTTTCTCGCTCCGCAGGCAACTTCGACAGGTTCTCGGCGGCGCGGCGCACGCGTCGTTACAAGAAGGGCCAGGACCCGGCGCTCGACAAGGACGGCTTGAAGCTGGAGCTCTCGCACGCCGACGCCGGCTACGACGAGAGCCACGCGAGCGCGACCGGTTGCGCGGCTCCGAACGCGCCCCGTCGACCGAGCAGCCTGGCGCTCGCGGAGAGCAGCAGCAGCCAAGACGGCGACGCGATGCTGCTCGTCTGGCAGGACAAGCTGAAGCGTCGCGACGCCGGCCAGCACGAGATCGACGCGGCCATGGCCGAGATCGCCAAGTCCGGCGAGGACCTGCAGCAGCTGGCCCGCAGCCACGGCGCGTCGCCGGTGGCGTCGACGAGCGCGAGCTCGACGCGGGGCTCGAGGCTGCCGGTCACTCAGCCGGCGCCGGTGCTGGCCGTCACGAACACGGTGCTCAGCCCGGTGATGCAGGAGTCCAGGCCGAGGGACGCGCCACCCGTGCACAAGGAGCACGCGACGCCGAGCAGGGAGCGGCGCCGAAGCATGATCGATCCCAGCATGGTCAAGGAGTCGCTGAGGCTGATGAACGAGCCGCAGCTCGTGAGCAGCCCGACGGACGAGAGCCTGCCGCCGAGCAGCCTGCTGCTGAGCGGCCGCCAGCTCGACGCCAAGCTGGACGGTAACGTCGAGAGCGGTCGTCGCCGCGTCCGCGCGGCCCCCGGCGCGACCCTGCTAACCGCGAACGATCGGCGCACAGCTGGCGCGAGTGGCCGCGACGGCTCGGCAGCCTACCTGGCGGCCGGCCAGCAGCAGACCACCTCGCCCGGGCAGGGCTCGGCCCGCTACATCCCCGAGCTGAGCGCGAGCAAGGCGCGCGAGCAGGAGCTCAACGACGAGGGCTTCGAGGAGACGCAGAGCCTCGTGTCGGAGAGCCTCAGCCAGGAGGCCTCGTCGGGCAACTACGAGACCGACGCGCACGACTCGACGCGCTGCTCGCCGGCCGAGCTGACGCGCGCCGGCGGCGCCGGCGGCGCCGGCGCGGCCCTGTCCAAGGCCGCTGTCGGCGTCATCGGCAGCGCCAAGTCGCTGCAGAGGCGCGACGGTCCGCGGCACGCCCCGGACAAGAGCCTGTCGAGGATCAAGAGCTTCGAGCGGAGGGACGCCAGGGAGGGGGGCGTCGCCGCCAGGGCGGGCAAGGGCCAGGAGGTCTCGAGCTACCTGCCCAAGAGGACCGCCAGCCTCAAGAGGGAGCCGCCGGCACGGTGCGTAGCGATCGCGGCACCGCTCGGCCCGAGCCGCCTCCTGACCGAGCCTCGCCCACTTTGTTGCAGCAAGTCAAGCCTGGAAGGCGCGAAGCGCGCGGCGAGCGGCGCCAGTCCCCGCGGCGAGGTCGAGCGCTCGGGCTCCCGCAGCAGCCTGCGCAGCTCGCGCAGCTCGCTGAACAGCGCCACCTCGGTGAACACGGTGCGCAACCTCGGCCCCGGCGCCCATCCGCACCTCAACCGGTACACCTCGGCCATACGCGCGCTCACCAACGACCTGCGCAAAGGCTCCGCCGGCTCGGCCGCCTCGTCCAGCGCCGCCGACGAGAAGAGGCGCGGCTCCACGCCCCGCACGTCCATCGGCAAGATGCCCGCGAGCCGGAGCAGCAGCAGCGGCAGCAGCGTCGGGCCCGCTGCCAGGAATATCCGCAAGGCCGTCGGGGTGAGTGGCGCGCTTCGACAACCAGCGCTTTCGTACACCTTACGTGTGCTTCGGATCATCCAAGTGATATCTGTGTATTTTTACTTCCTCTTTTCGAGTTTCGATGCTAGAGAGCTCTAAATGGTCAAATTTATTTTTTCTTGACGGATCACATTTTTTGGAAGATCATCACTTTTTTATATTCGAGTTGTGGAGCGGGAGACAAGTGAAAATCATTGCTGATTCAATAACGAACAAGCCTGTTTTTTTTCAGATTTTAAAAACAGTTATTCAAACCGGAATTCTCTCAAATTAACTAAGAAAATGCCGATGACTGCACATTTTATTGTTTAAAAGCCCATAATTTTTGTTCTACTTAACTTCCGGGAGCCCGAAGTGCACCCATTTATTTGTTATTGCATCAAAAGTACACTTCATTTTTCAAATTATGAAAATATTAATTACAACAAAAGATACCACCAATTGAGTCAACGAAAATTGCTTGATTTTACCAAATCTAATGAAACCTAATTATAAAGAATAAAAGTATAATAAATTATTGTAGATTATATCGTGCTTGTGTAGCTGTTTACAACAAATTCACACACAATTATCAACAATAAAAATTTTGTTCGTATATGAACATTAAATTTCAATGCGGAAAGATTAAAATTGTAAAAATATTTTAAGAGTTTTTATAACAGCACACTCTAAGTCTTCGACAGTCATATTCAAACTTGTTTACGGTCGAGTTAAAGTTGAGCAATTTTTGTTGACTTAATGAGTGATATCACTTCTTTTAATTAATATTTTTATAATTTAAAAAATCTAGTGTGTTCCTTATGCAATCACATATTGAGTAAAATAAAAGTTATGACCTTTCAAACAATAAAATATCTAGTTACTGACAGTTGTTTTGGTTAATTTGCGATATTTTGGGTTCTAATAAATATTTTTACAATCTAAAAAAACGAGTTTTTTTTCTGTATTGACTAATCAATCGTTTGACTTGTCTTGAATAGGCAAAAAATGTATGGTCGTTTAAACTTTTCGTTCGTTAATAACAAATTAATTTGACCACTCAAAGCTTTTCAGTATTGATATTTTATATTTGAGGAACATGCAAGGCCTACGAAAAGGCTCGTTGCTCCTACACTAAAGGAGGAGCAGCGAGTAAAGGCGAGCGGGGTTTGTTCGTTTAGGCCTCGTCGAGCGTATCGAGCTCGGGCGTCGGCAGCCTGAGGAGCCGCCCGGCAGCCGTGACCTCGCGGAGCAGCAGCAGCAGTAGCAGCGGCGTCGGCCAGCAAGTGCTCGCTCACAATATCCGCAACAACAGCATAGGCTCGGACAAGTCAACCGGCGCCAAAAGCACGAGCAGCAGCCGCATTGGCCAACCGCGCGCCAGCAGTGGTGTCGCCACGAGGAGTCAAAGCTTCATGCGACCCACAGCGGCGAGCGTGAACAAAGGCTCTATCGCTAACCTACCCAAGAGCATCAAGACTCTCGTCAAGTAGTCCTTCCTCTCTCTCTTTTCTCTCTCTCTCTCTCTCTCTCTCTCTCTCTCTCTCTCTCTCTCTCTCTCTCTCTCTCTCTCCCTTCCCACTTTACTTTGCCTCTCAATCAAACAATCGAATTTTGTTTAACGATCGGATGCCATTTACGCGCGAATGTGCAATCGTACGACTGAAACGCTGTCTTTATCTTATTTTTATTACTTTTTTTTTGTTTAATATAAGAGATGTCCTATATTTTACGTTGATCCTTCTGATTGATCCTCTATTTTTTATTTATTTGACATCGCGACATTTAATTGTTATCGTGCGACGATGGAAATTTTGAACTCTGCTCGGACTAGACCGATATAACAATCACACTTTTACACACATTTAAACGTGCACTGTCGAAACTCAGGTCTCCTTCCTCCTGGTCGCGCAACGTTAGACAGAGATAAATAGTATTTTGTAACACCTGTAACATACGATGCGACTAACATTTAAGTACCTATACGTACATATCATCGAGAATCAATTTATTAATAAAGTTGACTTGTGATCAAACACCTGCAGTCATTCAACTGTACTACTGTCGTGCGACGAAAAATAAAAATCAGCATTAATATTGAATAAAAATTAAACTGACGATAAAACACTTGCGTTTGTCTCAGAGAACAACTCTTTTCCAATATTGACACAATTTCAGAGGATAAATAATGTAAACTGATGCGACAATTTTATTAAAATATCTTTATTTTGTAACTATAAAATCGAATATTAACAAATATCCCATTCACGCTACGTGCAACTAGAGGAGTACAACACTGGGATAATGGAATAAATATCAGGCACTGATAAATTGCTTTGTTTATTCGATCTAAGAAATCGATTTCTACTGGAGATGAATACTGCGGGAAATCGAATGATTCTACGCGCGACTTGTTTTGTTTAAAAGACTATCAAAATATTTTTTTTCTACTACTTTCTCCATTTATTGGGTTATTGCTCTTTCCGTTACGCTACTATCTTTACAAACAACGGTATACACTCGTTTTGCCATATTCGCACATTCTTCAAACACGTATGTATGTATGTATACATGTATATACTTATGTATACATATATACATACGTACGTAAAAACTAGATAAATATCTGAATTCGACGATACAAAAATTGAACAAACAACGCGAGCTCGTCGCTCGTCGCAGACAAAACGAGCTATATGTATCGCACATGAGGGTTCGCGCACACAAGCGATTCATGTGCGCTCGCGATAAAGGAATCTAATGCGATCTAATAGCTGTTAAAATAATCTCGATTTGTATACATAACCCGCGACAATATTTGATTTCTCGTTAGTTACAATATAATTCGTACACACTGTATATACGGATAAAACGCTGGCGACATTCTGCACGATCAACAAAAAAGGAAAAAAAACACTGACTATTACATCTGGAATAAATACTAGACAGCAGACGCGCGCGCGATCTGTAAATTAATACGATTAGCTTCGCGGATCCGAGAGTTGTCGAGGAAAAAAGAAAAGGGCAGAACAGAAGAAGTCGGATTGGCCGTTGATCGAGATAAAACAAAACGAAACGCCGATCGGAGCTAAAAAAAAAGGCGAGTAATGAAGCCACGGCACAGAGGCATTTCGCCAGAGCGCGCGTGAATCCTTTCTTCTCGGTGAACGAATTGCGCGTTGCTGGTTTTTCAGTCTCAATCTCTTTTACTTGGTTCCCCCTCGTTTCTCGCCGATACATCATCGTCGTTACCGTCGGCGTCGTCGTCATCGTCGTCGTCGTCGTCGTCGTCGTCATTGCCGTCGTTGTCGTCGTCGTCGCGCCCTTTCCCGGCTGTTGTTGGCGAGTGAGCCTCGTGGAAAGTGGCCGACGTCTCGCCGAAATCTCACGCCACGTCGACGCGGTCACGGAACGATAACGTTACCGGACCCTTCGGCGCCATTATGTACTCGAACTGTAGTCCCAGCTCGTCGTCAGCCGTGATGTCGAACTCGCGAACGATCTGCCGAGCATTCGTCGGTCAACGTGGTGTACGTGAACAAGGAGGCTTGAAAGTGGACGAAAGGGTGCATCTCACCTTGGCGACCATCAGCTGTAGAGCCTGCTCGACGAATCGCTTGCCCGGGCAGATGCGCCTACCGAAACCAAACGGCGCGACCAGCTGGGCCGCGTGCGGCTGGTGGAGTTCGGGCTGAAGCCAGCGCTCGGGTATGCACCGGTCGGCGTCTTTGAAATTGGCTTCATCGAGGCCGGCAATCCAGGTTTGCAGCAGCACCACCGTCTGCGAACATTCGGTTATCGTCAGCATCCGTCCGACAAAGCGAGAGATGCGGGTGCGCGGTGCAGCGCCAGAACTACTTACCCCTGTCGCCAGATGATAGTCACCGAGGTCGACCGGATCCTCGAGTATGCGTGCGATGCAGGGCGCGGTCGGCAGCAATCTGTAAGTCAACGTCGCGCGTTGCCTCTCAATGTGTATGCCGATCAACTTCGTAACGCTCGCCGTGGACCTCGTTGCCAATAGTTCCCGACCGGCGGAGCGCAAAGGGAACGCGCGGGTACGCGACAGACGTCTTCCCGGAGGGAGTATCCGGTGGAACTTTGGACTCGCGACAAGCTGCTCGACCGGAAAGCGCATTGGCGAAGCACCATTTTTCGGCGGCTTTTTTATACCCGCGTAACTCGTCAATAATTTGATTGTTCTTGTGTACTCGAGTTTACCTGAATACCTCATTGATGAAAGCTTGAATGTAGACGGCCCCCTTCAAATGGTCCACGGAGATGTCGCATCGCGGCGGCACCAGCGCGTCGGCTTCCTCCTTCAGCCGCCTCTGCACCTCTGGATTGCTGCCTATCGTGTGCAGCAGAAACACCAGAGTGTTGCCCACCTGAGATGCGAACAGGCGCACGATGAGAGCGAGCGCGGGGGAGAAAGGCCCGGCCGCTTTGGCTGCTGCCGAAAGCGCACGAGAGCGACGATTACCGTGTGTATGCCAGCGGCGATGAAGTCAACGATCGCCGCCTTCTTGTCTCGTATGTCGAGAGACTTCTCACGGAGAATCGACAGAAAGACTGCCTCGATGCTCTCGTCTCGGGCACTCTCCTCGTGCTGCCTCGTCGACTCCTCGATCAGGTCAGAGATGATGCTGCAATCAAGTCCGCGAGGCGATCAGTCCGCGAGACCATCGGCGGTGTACGCCACGTGTACGGCCGTTGGACGCCACTCACTCGTAGATGGTCTCCTCGCTCTGCGTCAAATTCTTGTAGGCGGCGTTCGGCAACAGCTTCCAGGTCGGGAACCCGTAGAAAGCGTCCCGCGAGGCCAGAAAGTGCATCCTCACCGCGTCGGCAAGCTTGCTCGTTATCAAGCTTTCCGACTCGGGCTTGAGGAAGCCCAAGTGCCTGCCCAGCATGAGCATGCAGGTGCCTGCAAACGCAAAGAGACGTGAAGGAGCGCGCGCGAAAACGCGAGCGGGGCCGGCGTGCGCTCGACCGAGCCAGACTGACGCGACGACACCGAGATCTAAGTGCAAAACTCACTCTCGAGGCCCATTCTGTAGGCGAGTTCCTCGAATGCTCGCAGACTGCATCCGGTTCTTTGGTTCCGTATCAGATCGATGAAGTCGTCGGTCACGCCGTTGAGCGCGGGAAAGAAACCTAGGATGGTTTTAGTCCCCATTAGTTCCGGCGTGAGGGTAGCTCGCAATCTCTGCCACGTAATGCCCTGCCTATATGTTATACGTGCGTGTTTTTCACATTATCATCATATTCCAGCCTTACATGCTCCTCTCTCTCTCTCTCTCTCTCTCTCTCTCTCTCTCTCTTTCTCTCTCCATCATAATCATATCATTATTGTTGCGTGTATTCGTTTTTCCTCGCCTCTCCCTCATTTATCGTTTCCTATTGTTCTAGTCTGGTAAACAGACTCTAGCGCGCGTCTACTTTTCTATATTTTCTTATTCTTTGGAGGCACGCATGTGCCAGCACATGTGCACATGTGCACATGTGCGCGGGCTCTCAATGAATCAATTGCTCGAAGGAAAATGCAGACTCTGATAAGTTTTTTGTCGCGCTCAAGCGAGAAAGATAAAATCAAAAGGTTAAATGCGTGTGCTGTAACGTAATGGATTAGTTTTTAATAGCCGATAAGGCGAACGTCATTTCTTATTAACGAATCTTTCGAAACAATTCGCTTGAGTGAAATGGCCGGATAAAAATAAATCATAAATATAACCGAGTCGAGTGATGGCGGCATAGTTGCTTCTCTCTCTCTTTCTCTCTCTCTCTCTCTCTCTCTCTCTCTCTCTCTCTCTCTCTCTCTCTCTCTCTCTCTCTCTCTCTTTACGTTCTTGTCGCGAGAGCAATTCTCATACTAGCGAAACTCATACGCACTCGTTGACGAGACCCAGGTTGGTGTATCGATCGGCCCTCGACTGCCGATAGTGCGATATGATCTCTTGGGCTGGCCTCAGCGGATACTTGCTGCCGAGTTTGAGTATCGTCTCAATGTCTTCGCGGCCAAACAGCGAAATGACCGGCCAGTTCCAGTAAGACTCCTGCTTGACGATCGGTCCGAAGCGCTGCCTCATATCTGCACTTGAATGGACGAATTAAAGAGCCATACAACAATTGTCCGAAATTCGCGCGAGCGCGCCAATCAATATTGACTCGCCGAATCTCCCTCGAGCCGCGACCCAGATAAACACCATTAGCGACTGCTCCGCTTGCACTGTAAGTCCATTATCGCGAGGGCCGCACGCTTTGCTCGTTACGTCGCCAAAAATACGCTCACCGGTCAATATTGATGCGCGGATTCGCTCAAGCTGCTGGCGAGCTCCTCGCAGGAAGGATCGCCGAGCTCGCTTACCTTTGTATGCCTCGTGGGCCCTGTCCAAGCTGTACCGTCCGACGAATCTGAAGAATATCCAGGAGCTGCCCAGCACTGGCCAGCCCAGCGGTCCTGGAATGTCTTTCACGGTTTTCGGGCCGTTCGCCTTGGCCGTGTCTGCGAACGAAAAGCCAAATTCGTCCGTTCATCGCTGATCAAAATTGCTCTGCCGACGCCTAGCCGACGCCGAGCCGCCGCTTCGCTACCTGTATTGTTGTACTTCATGCTCCTGAGCAGCCTCTGCGGGAGATTGGTGAGCAGGCACAGCAGCGTCACGACCAGTACCGCGCAAACTTCGATCCACGCGATGCCCATTGTGATCATCGGTCAGCTACCACTTTGCTGCAACAGTCGCGCGAAAATTTCATTTGCGACGATAAGGCCATCTCACGCGCGTGCACGCGCGGCCGATCGCTATTTATAGGCCGTTGCGAAATATGTCACTGTCGCGATGCGATCGCAGATAAGGCGCGCCGCGTCTTTCTTTTCCGCCGCCACGAAACTACTGAATGAATCGATCCCGCGCGCTCCTCCGCGATAAACTTGCCCGGCAATGTAATCGTCGGCTCGCGCGATGAACCAACGCCACGAGTCTCTCTTTCTCTGTGCGCGCTTGTTGGAACACACGCCGAGATAACTTGCAATCTCTGGAAAGAAAACAAACAAAAAAATGTGCGAACGCTTTTCATCTCTCTCTCTCTCTCTCTCTCTCTCTCTCTCTCTCTCTCTCTCCGCGGCGATCGATTTCACGTTACGTAAAAGCCACGTGACGCGAGGACGGCGACGACAAAGCGCGGCGAGTGAGCTTGCGCGACTCTTCCGGCACGTCGTCTCCGGGTCAGCGACGACTTTCGCTCGACGCTCGCCCCGAGGACGTCTGGCGAACAATGTGCTCGCTCGACTCTCTATGCATAATTCACTCTTTCTCTCGTTTCCTCCTTCTCCTTTCTCTGACAGCCGGCGAGAGCGGGACTTAGAGACGCGCGGCTCTAATATGGCTATTTACTGCTAATTCCGGCGAATGGCCGCAGCCGAGCGCGAGCCCGCACAATGCTGTCGTTTCCAATGCGGAAATCCAGTTTCGTAATTCGGCGACTGATACGGCTTAGCCGCGGCTTCAATGCGAGCGGAACAATAGGCGCACTGCGCACTGCCGCCGCCGAGGGCGTCGACTCCAGCTTTTATTCGCGATAAAAGGTGTCGATGCGCGCCGCAACGGAAGGGGGATGAAAACAAAGCGCCGACTCCACCAGATAAGGAATATGGGTGACACTTTTCCTTTTTCATGCCAGTGATATTTACGACGACGCTGCCTCCGCGAGGATTACGCCGGCGCTCTGAATTTATTAAGAGCGGATTCGTTTATTCCTCCTAATTTTTCGACTCGCCGTGACGTGGAGCTCTCGGGATTTACGAGCATCTCGCGCTTCCTTCTCTCTCTTATTTCTTTGTCTTTCCGGCGAATGGCCTGCGGTGGCGGGCGACGCGCCGCGCGCCTAACAATCGGGATCTTTGTCGAAAGCGTGCCCCACCTCGTGTTGAGAAGCCTCGGACGATGGACGCGTTAGCAAACAGACGCTCGCGGAAGCGTAATTTATAGTTTCGGCGACTAAGCGCAATCAGCCTGGTTGATTTACAGCCGAGCGAACGATCGCGTGTTGTTTCGCCGATTGCGCGCGTGCGCTCGAAAATTAAAGGCAAAAGCTCCGGCTGCAAAGAGAGAGAGAGAGAGAGTGCGCGCGCTAATAATTAATTGTTTATCGGGCGCAATTACGAGCGCGCGTGTGCATTTTTATCCGAGCGAAAGATAAAGCACACATCGAGTCGGCTCCATCGGGAATAATACGCGTCGCGAGAGCTTTTCGACTCGCGCGCTCGCGCAGATAAATGCGCTCAATGGCAATGAAACAATGCGCTTTCTTTTTACTCTCTCTGCATTCGCCTCATATTTTACTTGACGAGTCGCGAGCCAAGGCTACCGCGCGGCGATCGTCTGTCGCGCGCCGTGCATTCCCGTTTCGTTTGGTTGAGCTTCGTCTGCCAATGTCTCTCTCTCTCTCTCTCTCTCTCTCTCGACTTTTCGTGCAGCCCCGGACAATCGGGGTGGAAAGCGCGTGGGCGACGGCGAGTCGGCACACCGGCTCGATCCCATTGACGGACGGGCGCGCCGCGATCGGCGTTACGTAAGGCGCTCTCACGATCGAGACTCGAGGACTATCGAGTTTCCGGCAGCGTTGGAGGAGACGCGCACTGTTTACGGTAATGACAACGGTAAGCCCGAAAATTTATGGGTGAATTCCTGCATGCGCGATGAGCCGAGAAAAAGCTCGCCGCGGCACGAGCGACTCGTGGCTTTTCGTGTGCGCTCGGTCGCGCGCGCAGACGTCGACCTATTTGTCGGTCAGTCGACTATTTCTCTGTTATCGGGCGACGCAGAGAGAGAGAGAGAGAGAGAGAGAGAGAGAGAGAGAGAGAGAGAGAGAGAGAGAGAGAGAGAGAGAGAGAGAGAGGCGCGCAAACACGCGTGCACATAGGCTCCCCCGTCTCTTTCGCTCACGGCGTCGGCTTCAATAATAGCGACGGAGAGAAGAAGATGATGCCGCGGCGGCTTTATCGGGCGCGCGCAGCTGCACGCGCGCGCAACCGCCAACAATAAGACCGCAAATAGACCTGCGCGAGCTCGCCGCGATGAGGCAATATGTGGCTGACGAATCTGGGCCTGTCGAGCGTGCGCGTCGACGCGTCCATCTGCACATGTTGGTCAACGTTTCGGCGCTAAGTAATATAGCTCGCCGTTCGCGCGACCGACGACCGACTTGGTGAGCCGACTCGATGAATCACGCTCGCGCGCGGGCTTCCCCGCCGTCGTTCTCTTGCCCACGGCCGGCAATTTTCTCCGCTTGCCCAAGCCCCGCTGCCCCCACAGCGACGCCGCCGACGACGATCGCGAGGATTTTCCTCGTATCCGCGATCGATCAAGTTCTCGGCTGGCGCTTGCTCAACTCGGCGGACGCTCGTTCCGAACAATGATTCGAGCAACGCGACTCGCTCGCTGCGCAGTCCGACGGGCAAGTAGACACAACGTTGGAGCGACGTTTGGGAAGGGACGAACGTTGTCGCGCGGCCTCGCACGCGTGGACCCTCGGAAGCGAACGCGCGACGACCAACTGCGGCGACGTCTAGCTTCGACGACGACGAGCGAGCCGCGATCGCAGCTGCGAGCCAGATCTCGCGAGGCGAGTGAAAATCACCGACGGGGGAAAGAGGCGACGGAGGTGGATCGGAGCCGTCGGAATGGGGGCGGTGTGCGATGCAGCTTATCCACTCTCGCCCCACATAACACAACAGCCGTTGGCTGCTGTTTTTCTTCCTTCATTTTTTCTTTTGCCCCCTTCTCGCCAGCGCGTCTATGTTGCGCGCGGCCAAGTGCGCCTATATACCTGTTTAGCGTACCGTTACACGCTCTTACGAACTGGCAGCGCGGCGCTCGCCTCACTCGCGCAACAGTTTCTTTTCGGATTTCTGTATGCGGATGTGGATATGAGGATCGTTTTCCCCGGCCGGGAGCGCTGTAACGCGCAGATAAGATAGCACGTATCTATAGAGAAACCGAAAGAAAGGCGTGCGGCGATGGGCCCAGAGTCCGTCTTTCTCCTTCTCGAAGCTATGAGCGCGGACGATTATCTCGGTGCGCGCCGCTGCCGCGGGAAAGTGGTTATGGAGATCTCTCGCTCGGCGAGCCGATTCGCCATTAATATTTACGAGCTTTTGTGTTTCTCTCTCCCTCTCTGTTTGCAGCCGGCAGCGGCATCGCGAGCCAGTATACACGCATACTTTCCAGGATGATTGAATTTATCGGAGGAGCCCACGACGACGCCGTCGCGAGGCTAAAGTTTATTGTAATCGGCGTCGAGCTCGCGCCCTCTCTTCCTTTTCTTTTGCTGTCTTCGAATTGGATTGGCTTTCCTCGAAGGAGCAACGGCTGCGCGTGCACATGATTTGCGTATGGCAGCCGATTGCCCAACGTACTCGCCGCCGTGGCTTAGGCGCCCGCCGAACCTGCGTCTTTTTTTACTCAACTGTCGGCGGCTCGCTTATCGGCATTGGCGCCACCGTGTTTTCCCGCGCGAGTGCGGCTTCGCTCGCGGTCGTCGGAAAAACACGAGCGGCGCCCTTGCTCTTGTGCGCCTTAAAGGCCGACGCGCACCTTCCCTCTGCGCGTGTCTCGGCGAATCTAGCGAGCAGAGCGTAGTAGGGCCTCGCTCCTTTATTTACATTCCTCACCTCGCTCGCTCTACGCGCGCGCATCTCTCTCTCTCTCTCTCTTTCTTTCTCGACTGCGCTGCCTGCTGCTGCTGCTGCTGCTGCTGCTGGCTGCTCGTGATGAATTGCACGTGCTCGGCAAGAACCGTTTCGACAAACTGGTTCTCCGCGGCCGAGCGATACACATACGCGTCGCGCGGCGAGGTGAACCAAACAACAACAACAACCAACAAGAAGCTGCATCGCCGAGGGAAAAAAAGAGGAAGGGGCGAGGAGGAAACGTCAGCGAGAGAGAGAGAGAGAGAGAGAGAGAGAGAGAGAGAGAGAGAGAGACAGGGACAGAGTATGTAAACGAAAATTATGTAATTTGGAGCAACGCGCGCGTACGAAACGCGGCTACTGTTTACGTTCGTCGCAAAAATACAAAACTCTCTCGGTCGCGCGCGTCGCTCTCGGCGTCGTCGACGCGACAGTGCACGACTGCTAGGCCTCCGGGATAGACAAATATCAATTCAAGTTTTTTAGATTGACCTTGTCGCTCCATTTGATTGGTCTTACAGGCCGCGTCGAAAAAATATCGGCCGGCACACGTTCGGATGTAATTCTGAGCAGGGGGTCATCCTTGTGAACTTGAACTATTTATAGACCTGTTGAATGAGATAGGTCTCGGGCGCGGTCTAATTGATTGGGTTCGGGATCGATGGTTTTTTTCTCTCTTTTCTTCGCCCCTGACAGCGATACGCGTCGAATAGTCTATAGGTCTGTTTGATTAGCGTTTCCGCCTGGCGGTCGTTCGGCGGGATCGGCGCTCGGCGAACGGGCGGCTGGCGACGCTGCGAGCTTGTGGCATCTATCCGAGCGCGAGTTCCATGCGCGCTGGCGATGAGAGATAAAAAAAAGCAAACAATGGCATGTGCGAGTGCAGTAGGGGAATTAATTGATTGTCGATAAGCCTGCGTGCGTATTGCCGATGCGCGCGTACGTATGTATCTTAATTGCAATGAAAGAGAAAAATCGCAAGCTTGTCCTTGCTCTATGACTGAGAATACATTTGACCCTGACTTCAACACAAATACCAGCCAGTTGAGCTGATTTTCTTCTTTTTTCCTCGCGCAGATATGGACCGCTCTCTGGCTTTGTTGCGCGATCGCTTTCTCTTTTGAAATTCCAATTTTTTCCCTTTACTCTAGCTCTCGTGAATTAGCGACGATCAGCCGGTGGAGCGGCAATCGTTCTGCGCAACGGAGAGAACGCTCGATCGTTCGTTCGGTTGTTTGCCAAACAAACCCAAAACACTTGCACACTGTATTAGCTGTGAGGTTTCTCTCGGAGAGGAATGTTTCGTTACATCGACCGTAGCGAGGCGGAGAAAAAAGCCCGGCCACGCTTCAGGCGATAAGCTGGACGAAGAGGGAAAAAATGGCGCGCGAAAATTATTAGGACTCGCATGAACGCCGCTGCCTCGAATAAAAAAAGACTTGGCCGCAACGCGGCTGACTGACGAACGCTGGCGTTATCGCGGCTCTGTGTAAAATAGAGAAGACGAGCGGTCGGCGAGCGAGGAAGAGGCTGATCGAAGCCGCAGCGAGATACACTTCCGCTTGAGCGCGAGCGCGCGCCGACAGCCCCGTCAAAATATTGTGACTTGGCCGTTGTCAAACATCGACGTTTCGACACGACGTTTCGGCGAGCAGCAACGGCAGCAACGGCAGCAACGGCAGCAACGGCAGCAACGGCAGCAACGGCAGCGCCGGCAGCTTGCGCACTGCCGGAGCCGAGCGCGAGCGCGCGCGCGCGCAAGCCAAGGCCCGATCGATCGGCGAGAGATCAGCACGACATTGAACTTGGACGCGCGGCGATTGTAGCGATGTACGCGCCCTGCGCGAACGTTCTCGTCGGACGAACAGCGCGATCGGAGCGCACGCGTGCGCCGTCTCCCGTTCGACTCGGCGGCCGACGCGCTTTCAAAACAAAAACACAGACTCAACTGTACTCACCGCTGGTCACAGAGGCTGCCCGAGCACCACTCGCACTGCCAGCACTCGGCCACGATGCAGGCGCTTATATATCTCGAAATTTATCGAGCAGATAAAAAAATTTCTCTCTCTCTCTCTCTCTCTCTCTCTCTCTTTTCAAGAAGAGCGAACTAGCGATACGACGCGCTTGCGAAGGATAAAAAGTTCGCCAGATTATGTGTTAAAAAAAACGAGCTCGAGAGAGCGAGAAGCTTGCGTGCGTGGAGTGTGAGCGAGCGAGCACCTTTCCGTCAGGCGTTTGCGGCTCAACTGAGGCTCTTTTGCCTGGCCGCGAGGCGCGAGACCCGCTGCGGCTTGGCTTGCGCGCGACGCGCGTCGCTCTCGCACGGCTCGATCGCCGATTGTCCCCGAGAGTTCTCCGAGCACACCGCACCAGCGCGCCGACGGACGCCGGCCGCTCCGATCGAGCTTCGCCGCTTTTTCCTTTTTCTTCTCTTTTCCTTTTGTTATGCGCCTCTACTCCTCCGCCGCGTCTCTTCATTGTCGTCGGGTCGATCGAATTGCGCGGAATTGCCGGCGCGCGGCGGCCACCTGCAGCAGCACAGAGAAAGCTCGGCGAGGAGTTCGCACGCAGATAAGCCGTTGTTGTTATCGCTCGCTTTCGCGCGCGCGTTTCTGTTTACCACGAGTCCGCGGCCACGTATCGCGGCTACCAGCGGGAAACGGTAATGCGAACCTACGCGCGCGCGCGCGCGCGCGCGCACCGCGGGCTTCGTGGGAGGCGCCTTCCTTGTTTTCCTTCCGTATATTCGGCCGAATCCGACGGATTCCTCTCGAGAAAGTCGGCGAACGCGCCAAACACTCTGTAGCCTCGCTTTTCTACGCGAGAACAAAGCCATGGGCGATTTTTTTTTTCGTCTCCAAGACACGCGACCGACGAACGAAAGTTCGAGACATCGATGAAAAGCAGTCGTGGCTTAGACCAACGGAGAGACGGACCGAGCGGTCGAGGGGGGAGCACATTATCTTAGCGACGAGCGGTGTACAGTGCTACCAGATTAACGCGAATTACCAGAGATCGGAAAGCGACGCGTGTGGGCACGCTGAGAGGAAAATGGTACGGGCTTATCAAGCGCCGTGTTACGTTAGAAGTCTAAGAAGGACGCGGATTTGTCGCCCTGGTGTGCATTCCCCAGCTCCGTGAGGTTTATCGCGCTCGCCGCGCCAATAGCTGCATTTTTCGCAACGTTTTCATCGTCTTAGCGGCGGGGAAAAACGGCCGGTGTGCCCAGCTACGGACTAGTTGGCCGAAAACAAAGGACACTTGTTTTCCGCACTTGACCGACATTTCACCGAGCGGCAGTCCGGCGTACGCGTCTGCAACAGACCTTTGTTTTCTTTGCACGTAAATACCGGGAGGGGGAGAGGGAGAGGGAGAGGGAGGGGGCATCGAGACTACCAATTAATCCATATCGCTGGCTCGAGCGTCGAGGAAAAGCGAGGAGGAAACCCGTCGTAGTTGCGCCTTCGAGAAGCGATGATTCGCGCGAGGCCGATAGAAGATGGAATAAAAAGCAGAGGGGACGCTGTAGGTAAACAAAAAAAAAGAAAAAAGCTCGGCACTTGGCGTCAATTGAGCTTTAGCCATGCGAGACGATGATCGCGCAGGCGCTGGCCGTATAGCTGCGTGAGATCGGATGCTGCGGCTATACGCGAGAGCGAGCAAAAACGCGCATCCGCCTGTTACAGTTCCGAGGCGCGCTCGGCGGCACGGCTGCCGATAACAAGCTCTCGATATCGTTCGCTTTGCATCTATGCGCGCGTTCAAGCTCTCGCTCTCTCTCGTTCTCTCTCCTAGATCGTTATTTTCGCTTTTTCTCGGCGCCTTTTCGATTCGATGAACATTTCAGCGTGGCGAGCAAGCGAGCTGTTTGTAACGAGACAACCTAAGGCACACGTGAGCCGTGTGTTTCTAGATGTGTAACGACACGTGCGGCGATGTATAGCCGTGGGGAAATACCAAAAACGGTGCACAAGAGATCGGGTCAAGCACCGCGCGCGAGCTGCTTGCACCAGGAAGAGTCTGTGTTTCTTTTTCTAAAATTCCAACATCGTCGGCGCTGCCGCTTCGCTGCCTTTCTTACCTCTTTCTCTTTCGTCCTTTTTTCGTGTGCTCCGTCCTCGCTTCTCCTTATGTATTTATCAACGTGTCGCGCTTCCCTCTCCGCTCGACTGACAGCCGAAAACCTCGTGTCCGACTACACGTTCAACGCGCGTGAATGTGTCCCTTATCACAGAGCTCGGATGTCGCCCTACGAGTCAAATCGGTCGCGGGGACCGGTTCGTTTCCTAATATTCTACGATCTTCCTTTCCTCCTGGTCGTTCTCTAGCACACCACAGAGATATATTGCGGTATTAATATATCTGCCTACATACTCCTAAACCGATGTGGAAAATCGGAGTTACTGAATCGCTTTAAAAGCTGGCCTCGCAAGTGGAGAAGCGCTCTGTAAGCAGATGCGACGGTGCTTTCTCAAAATTTATTGTTCGCCAAAAATGGGATCAGTTCGCAAATCATGGCAGAAAACAGCTCTGAAAGAACTTGCCCCGCGTTTACCTACACTTTGGATGACATAATTTTTTTAAAAAATACATACTTGATTTTCTTGGATCGCTCTGCTTCTTTTGTCATCGGTTACATCAAATATTGACGTAGCTGACACCAATCTTATCGAAAGGCAGAGCAAGCGATAAAAAAAAAGAAGTATAAATTTCTCGTCGCGATTGCAGCGTTAAGCGTGTTACATATTCAATACTCAAAGGCTCTTTTCCAAACTCTACCTTTTCCAAGTCTAATTCCTTTCCGTGAGGGTCGGTCGACAATGCTACTCATCGTTTCGCGAAATCATTCTGGATCAGAGCACTCACTGACGCTGTGTTTTACCACTGAATTAGCAATTCTTTCACCCTTCGAGCGAAATAACAATGATGTTAATTTCATATTACTCTACGCAACAGTATAAGCACTTTGATAAAACGATTCACATATCCAGCAGCGACGAATGAAAAGACCTCGTGAAAATTACCGAGGTCATTCAGTTCGGTTACCAAACCACAGTCGAGAATCACGATCCGTGGACCAGACCATGGATTGACTGTCGTCGAATATTCTTGCACCAAAACGTTTCCTGGATGCAAGTAGCAGTGAACGAAGTTATCGCGGAATATCTGAAGATTAATTTCTGTGGTTAAGAAATGTCGTTATCTTTATAGAATTGGAAAGCTGCCAACCATGTTAAAAACGGGGCTAATTCCTATTGCGGCGAGTTCGTGGCTTAATGCTTTGTCGGGTGTCGTCAAATAATCACTAATAAAACGTTCCTCGTGAAATGTCTCGACCAAAATTTGATCGTTATATAAGTTACGGAGTGCCTCAGGGAAGCATACATCCACTATTGCTGCGACATTTTTTGAAAACTTCCTCTTCGACCTCTGTTCTTGAATCCACCTTCACATTTTATGAATGAAATATTGAAACTGTCAATGAAATATGATTTTGACGGATTTCTTTGAAAATATTTTTTATTTTACAAATAACGTTCACTAACTTGTTTTTCCATAATTCGAGAAAACTCATGTATACAATCAATGATGCTGAGACATTCGAAACGTGGCACAAGACATGTCACAAATTTTGACAGCGATTACAGGATAGTGAGATCTAGTCTTTACAAATTTATTATAATTAAATACTGGCAACTCCGATTAGAGTAGTCAATTATTTAAGGTTTTCAACTCGCTTACGTCGTTCTCTGAAATGCGGATGTTAAATGTTAATGACAATGGGTATTGCGCTTTCTTTTCCTGAATCAAGAATTGTTTAAATAAATTGTTTAAATAATCAATAATTGTTTAAATTAAAAATGAAAGATTGTTTGAAAAAGACAAAAAAATGTAATTGAAACATAATGAAATTTCTGTTCTATTCACGTAATCAACATAAACACATACTTAGTGGTTTAACGCAAAATTTATAAGTGTATGAAATTGTTCTTCTAAACGAAATAATTCTTTACAGGCGATATAGTTATTTGCAACTATAAAAATTGATCGTATTTACGGCAACTTGAAAAATAAGCTGATAATGTACAATGTTAATTTCTATTACATTCCACTTGTAATCATTGATAATCGGAGAGCTCAATAGACCATCGACTTATATCTAATCTTATCGTTATCTACATAATTATGGTACTTATCACATAATTAATATCTTTTCGTAATCAACAAGTGTCACATGTCGCACAAAAACGCAACTTACAATAACAGCGTATTCGAAATAATTCACTCTGCTTCCCATCTAACAATGTCTTTGAAAAACAATGCTACGCTGTTACGAGAAAAAGAATTAATAGTATATGAAATAAGCTTACTCTTGATGAAGGTAAAAGTTTGTCTGATAGCAAGAGTTGGGTAATACTTAACATTGATAAAAGCTTGATAAATCTGAGCAAAACAGCCAGAACCAACAGGTACAGGGTCGAATTTAACGAAAAGTTGACGCCATGAAGATCCATAAGTAGTTGTGAGAATATTCTCTGTATATTACCAAGAGTAGACTGTTGCGTTACGCTAAAGCTGCGATAAAGCTGAACACATTTCTTCGGAATATAAGTTCCTGTGTATAGACATCCATTGATCAAACTTCACGAATAAAGGTCCAAAAAATTCGATTCCTAGAATAAACAAAATAGAAAAAAGAAAAACGTTAAATTATTACTAGGAAAAAATTCATCTTGCGAATAATGAAAAATACCCACCTCTTAAATAAATGGTAAGATGTATCTTGAAAAATAAACATCGATTGACGCAGTAGTAAATTAATAGTCCCAAAATTATGGTTATTAACACAATAATCAAAATGACAATTGCAATAATTTTCACCGGACAACTTAAAAGATTAATTTTTTCAGTTTCGTTAGAGGGCAACATTTTACCGCCATTCGTACTAGTTTTTAGGAGCACTAAAGTTTCAACTTTACAAATGATTCGTTTAATTAACTTAAAATATATAATGTTACTCAAATTTGCACAATCACCTCTTTGTAAGATAACTTAGATACTCGGAATAATTTCCATTGAACAACTTTTGGTAGAAATAATAATTTGATTCTGGCTAGTATAAATTCAGACTCGAAATCACTAGCAACACTGTTTTCTTAGAAAATTTCCTTTTTTAAACTTTCTTTCATTGAACTTTAAGTAAATGACGAAAGTTAACGTCTCAGAAACAAATAAATAAACAATGATGGGTGTTTTTACTGTGAATGAAAAAATGACCTTAGACACTTATCCTGTATAAATAAATTTGTAATACGATCAATGACGCATGTTAAACTTAATGTACACACAGATTGAAACACACGTCACTGCACCCGTTAACGAGTCGATTACATACAAATAATTTATAGTCCTTTTTTGCATTTTAATAACTTAGAGAGCCCTATCAAAAACGCTGATGAAAATTCGATGGCTGCGTCGGTTGGGTGGTCGAGTACACCATGCCCGGAGGTTGCTGATGGGTCATGGCATGATTTTGGTGTTGGTGGAATTCTGGTGCTCCATGAGGACCGTTCAGTCTCACTCTTTTGGGATTTGGTCCATGGCTATGTTCACCATTTCCCTGTTGTTGCTGATTCTGTTGCTGAAAGGTTTTGTTGACCTTTATTTTGAGAAAAAAAAAAAAAAAACAAAATGAAATAAAAAGAAACCACGTTTGAAACTATAATTTTCAAATTTTATGTGAAATAACGATCTTACTGTTTGCTGCTGATTTTGTCTATTTTTATTATCAGTCTTATCTTCAGAATCGTCATCTGTTAAAAACTCTCTTTTAGGATACGGAATAGAACAACCCGCAAAGATACTGTGAAAATTGGCAATAATCATTAAATTGATATCTCTTTGTTTTTTCATAAAAGAAGCGCTTTAAAATATAACTCACTCTGCAGTAGGCAGTGGATCTTCTTGAAAATAAGGATCCTGCATGGAATGTTCCGAGGTTATCCTTTTGTTTGGATCCATCATCAGTAATTTTTGCAACTAAACTCAATGATAATAAAATTATATAATAAAATTAATATAATAAAATTATTTTTATTTAACACAATTAAAAGATATTTACCAAATTAAAAGCTTTACTATCTGGTTTGATTTTATGACGATCCATATATTTTGTTAATGAACAGTTGGCATAACTGAAAACGTTACAAAAAGTATGATACAGTTAAAAATTATACAAAAATCTGTTAAAATGAATCACACTTCAAAAGAAATTACTTAGAGCGCTTAAAATCACGTAATAGCGTTTGATGTTCGGGCATTTTTTTAATATCTTCCCAATCTTTTTCTAGTGGAAATCCCATGACATTGAATATCCTGTCCAACTGATCGTGATGATATGGATTACTAGTTTTAATGTCTTCTTGTCTGCAGTGAAAAATAGGTTCAGAAGTTAAAAGTTCTGCAAATATGCATCCTATAGCCCATATATCTGCAAAGAAATAATAATAAATATACACTAAATACATTACTTATTTTCACAATTACATAAATTATTAACTTTACCAATAGCTTTAGTGTAATGCCTAGCTCCAAGTAAAAGTTCAGGTGCTCTATACCAAAAAGTTACTACTACAGGATCCAAATCAGCAAGAGGTTTTAATGGAGCATTAAACAATCTAGCAAAACCCATATCAGCTATTTTGACTCTGCCTCTTTCATTGCCTTCACCCATCACTAAAATATTTGCAGGTTTCTAGAAATATGGTAAATATTAATATTATTCTAAAAAAAATACTATTGTTTATATCAATAAATAATTGAATTACTAAATCTCTGTGAAGAACCCAATTGGAATGTAAATAATGAATGCCATCTAAAATCTGATAAAGCAAGGATTTAACCATGCCCTTTGGCACCATAATTTGCTTTTTGTTTGCTTTTGCTGTTCTATGAAATTTAATAATATGCTGAAATAAAAATGTGGTGTATTATAGAAAACCATACATTAAACATTTATTTATAAAAGCAGAATTGAATTTACCCATAAATCATGTTCTGCAAAGTCAAATAGCAGCCAAACCTTACGGTCATTATGAGATAGAAATACACGAATTAAAGTTATCACATTTACATGTTTAAGTTCCCTAAGTAACTGCAATGAAAAATTCAAAATTAAATTCAATAAATATACTGTCAACAAAAACCGCATAATGAAAACTCACTGTAATTTCTCTACAAGCAGACATAGATAGACCAGTTCCTTCGATTTGCTTTAAAGCAAAGTCTTTTGTATCTGGCCTGCTTTTGAGTTCACTGTCTGGTACTCTACAAATAACGATTATAACTATTAGCATATAAGTATGTCAGTTCATCAGTGAAAGAATATTAATTATATAAAAATAAAAACTATAAAGCATATAAAATCCACATCACAATACTTATTAACTATGAAATGGGATAATACTGTGTATGATATTATATTGAACAAGTTTGTTTATCTATATTAAATTAAAAATTAGAAGCACTAAGAATTTGTATGAAGGTCTGATTGTTTAATAAAAGAAAATACATTTTCTAAAGAAATAAAAAAATTATTGAAACTTGAGTGGAGAAACTAACCCCTCTTTTCTGCGGGCTTTGTAGACGTGGCCGTAAGTCCCTCGGCCAACTTTGCATCCTTCAAATTCGAAAAGATCTTCGACCTTGATACGATCTTTTTGTGTCTTCATCTTAAATTCGTAATCCATCATGATTAACATTTGCTAACCGATTAATAATTATCAACTGTACTTGGGCATCTTTATCCTCACTCTCAGACGCTAGTCTCAACAAATAAACACTATTTTCTCATCCATCACATTTCTTTGATCTAATCCATTATTTTTGAACTGTTGTTTTTATTAGTTTCAGGTTTTTTTTTAACGACAATCACTCTTTATTGCTTTAAAAGATAATTATAAACGTAATCGGATCGTTGATCGGCTTTTTTGATGGAGGTTGAAAGAGGGACGAAATGAAACAAGTGCAAATTGGACTTCGGAATAAGGAACAGGGAATGCAATTTTATATGCAAAATTAAAGATACAAAAATTTTTCTCAAATATTCATTGAAAACTATCATTCTAGTTAGAATGTTGTAACAAATAAATGAATAAATATTCATTTGAATTAATAATCAAAGTATGTGTATTTTTAGAACAGAGCTTTTATTTTCGCGATACTATAGCTTTAAAAATAATACTAATTTTACATATTTTGTAAATATTTGGTTACATTTTGCATAAATAGTGCAAGTTTAGAATATTCATTTGTCGTTTGAATTGTAGCACTATATATATAGATTTTGGAATTTTGAAACGCACCATGCGCATGTGCGAAATATCACCATGTGTTTACATTGCATATTTATACATATATTGTATGTATCGTCAATCTGTCATGTGTCATGTTTTCTTTTTACTTATGAATTTAATGTATAAATTAGTGTATATGCTGTGAAAATTATAGTAAATAATATTTATTTATTTATTGTTTATACCTAGAAATATTTAATTAAACAAAATGGAGGAAGATATCATGAAACTTGATTTATATGAAATTATTGGTATAGCCTCTACAGCAACTGTAGAAGAGGTAAGCATTTTTGTTTATATAGTGGTAATTACACCAAAGAACAATTAAAAACCATAATTAATTATTTATATTTACCCTAATCTCTAATAAATACTAATTACAGATCAAAAAAGCATACAGAAAACAGGCTTTAAAATGCCATCCTGACAAAAACCCAGACAATCCTAAAGCTGCTGAAGAATTTAGACAATTAACAAAAGTGTTAGAAGTTTTGACTGATGTATCTGCAAGGGTGAGTTAAATTTTAAATTGTATTGTTATACGTCATATGTGATACAACTTCAACTATACTTTCAGGCTGCTTATGATAAAATTCTAAATGCAAAAACTCAAGCAAAACTTAGAGTTAAAGAATTAGATGCTAGACATAAGAAATTCAAAGATAATTTAGAAGCTCGTGAGCAAGCATTTGAGCAATCACAAAGTTCAAATTATGCACCTTCCAAAAGTGATGAACAAAGATTAAAGGCTGAACTGGAAAGGTTGAAAAAAGAAGGTTCAAAATTAGTTGAAGAAGAAAATGAGCGGTTACGACAAAAAGTATTGGAAGAAATCCAAAAAAGAACTGAGGAAATATATGGGGAAGATGCATGTCGAGTTAAGATAAGTTGGAAAGTTAATGCTGATGATGAAACAAATGGTGGTTATAACCATGACAATCTATCTAAAATGCTATCTAAAGTAAGCCAAATAATTCAATTTTTAAGTTTGTTCATTTTCATTAAGTATTATATTACCTATTCCAAACATATTTAAATGAAATTTTAGCATGGTGATATCTCAGTATTAGTAGTATCAAGTGCTAAAAAGGGTAGAGCTTTAGTAGAATTTACAACAAAAACAGCAGCAGAATCTGCTATCACTATTGAAAGAGGTCTGATAACAAATCCATTAAAGTTAATTGGATTATGGGAGAAGAAAAAAACAGCAGCAACTATCGGACAAAAGCAATTGAAAAAACCTTTACAAATGAATTCAAGACCTCCAATAGGAGGATCCTTGTTTGCTTCAGTAAGAGGAAAAAGTAATATGAATTCTAGTAACATATCTCAAGGTCTCAGTTTTGCTTCTGCTCCAGATATATTTGTAAGTGAAATTGCTGCTTTGGATATTTGTAAAAAGTTTTTATAATTTTAACTTCATAATTTTTATTCTTACAGAATACTCAAACACTCAATCATACTGATTTCGAGAGTACAGTTTTAAATAATCTCAAGAGAGTAGAAGAGCGTAGAAAACTGATAGAGCAAATGCAAACAGAAGATACATGATTATGATAATTAAATTTAACATTCAAATGTCTATTTATAATAAAGTATTTTTAAGTATCAAATTTCAATTTTGATAAAGATCTTTCTAATTACTTACTTTACTAGTATTATTCCGTTTAGTAAAATACAAAGCTTACAATTATTGGAAATAATAAATTAATTACAATTCATAACTTAGAAATTCAAAATGCATCTTGTAAAATTGTAGCAAAATATTTTTATTTATTTATTCATTTTTTGTTTGTTTCTTCTGTTTTTTCATTTCAACTTCTTCAATGGGTGCTGGTTTAACAAATGGTATCTCCTTTTGATATTGAGGAGGCATAAATTGTTGTATAGCTTCAGGTACAATGATACCAGTTTCTGTTTGATTAACTTCCAAAACTGCACAAATAACTCTTGTAACAGCACACATGGTGGCATTTAACATATGGATATAATCAACAGCAGCATTCATTTTTTTTGTTTGTCCATACCTAGAATGACGTTAATGAATCAATGTTTGTACTCATTAATTATTATTCACTATTTGTAAATAAACGGAAACTCATGTACCTGACTAATAATCTTCTAGCTTGATAGTCCAAGCAATTGCTGCACGATACTAGTTCACGGAATGCACCAGAACCTGGAAACCAGGCTTCCAAATCAAGTTTTTTTGAAGCTGCATGATTCAATGCTCCAGATACAATATTTACAATTCTATAAGGTATGTTCAATTCTTTGTAAAAGTTTTCTGCATTTCTAATCATTTCTTCCATCATTTCCCATGACTTATTATCATGAGGTGATGTAAGGCAGAATTGCTCTATCTAAAATAAATAAAATAATTTTCATTCATACTCAAATGTACTAACATATTTTAAACTATTAACTTTACTTTTTCAAACTGATGTACTCTGAAAATTCCTCTAGTATCGCGTCCATGAGACCCTACTTCTTGTCTAAAACAAGTAGAATAACCAGCATATCTAATTGGCAAAGCAGATTCAGAAATCCACTCTCCTCTATGATATGCTGCAATTGGTTGTTCAGATGTGGCAATAAGGTATTTCTCTTCCAATTCTTTTTCATCTCCTTTTTCACTGCCTTTGCCAAGAACCTTAAGAAAAAGTACATTTAAATAGGCATCTTGAGATAATCTAATTATTCCTTGGTATCTTTGACAATCTCCTTACTTTGTATAATTCCTCATCAAATTGAGATAGCTGTGCAACTTCCTGCATTGCATCTTTTCTCATGAAAAATGGAGTATAAAGAGGTTTGTAGCCATTGTCAAACAATCTCCTAAGAGCTAATTGTATCAACGCATGCTGTAAGAAGACAGCAGGACCAGTTAAAAAGTATCCTCGTCCACCAGAAACTGCTGACCCTCGATCTCCATCCATACCATCTATCATGTGAATGAGATCCACATGCGAATACTTTTTTCTGATAGTACAATCACCAAATGTCCTTTCTACCTGATAAATTAATCATCATACATTAAATTTCATTGATTCTATATATTATTTGCATACAATTTGTAATTAATAGTGAAATGATAAAATAAACAATATATTTACAGAAAATTGCACACATTCAATAAATTATACTACAGGGTAACTGAATGTTCAGTTGAAAAGAAGGTCCCTCAATTTTATAGAATGACTATTTCGTTAAACAAAAATCGAAATCTGAAAGTTAAAAAAGATAAAAGAAAAGAAAGGGTTCTAAAAGCACCTTGTTTTCCTCCTCATCATTGCTGACAGGTACTGACTCATGTAAATGATTGCCAACTTCCCTGAGGGCATTATTTCTGTCCGTTTCAGTCTTAACGAGTTCTTCGGCATTGGAAGCGATGGCTTCGTCGATGAGAGTACGAATTCTCTTGATCTTGGTGACAGTGAGTGCTTTGAGGTTATCTGAAGTAACCTGAACATCGAGATCATCGATGATGGATTGAGGCACAACGTCGTCATCGCCGACAGCTTCTTTCTTTTTCATTTTCTCGCCAATCACCTTGCTACAGAGGTTCTTCAGCTTGTTAAGATTGTCAGCGCGGTGTCGCAGCTGCCTCCAGAGTTTATCCTTGCTGATGACGGTCTCCACAAGGCCGACATCCTTAAATCTCTTGCGTTGGTTCTCGCGCACCTTCTCCACGTTCGAACCTTTATCCTCACGGAACAGATCCAAGTCCAGCACCATTTTCACAAATTTTTCGTCTCCGTTTTAATTCAAAAGGAGAAAAGAAGAGCACCACGGATCAGCGTATTCTTACAGCTGTACGGCGGCTATCGCGAGTCACTTACCACGTGGAATAGGCAAGTGTTGGTAAGTGGGGTACGGAAATAAATGTTAGCAGCAGATACTCACGGAAGAACAACTCGCCACGTATTTGCTCGTGGTTCAAAGATTTTGAAATGCCGTTTTATTCATTGAAATGATTTTTTTATAAATTTAAACTTTTCAACTTATAAATAAGTATAATTCAATTATTTGAAAGACTATACAAACCTCTAAAAGGAGGTCGAAGTGCTCTAATAAAAAAAAAAGAACGAGTATACCGTTGGTATATCACTATAAATTTTATAGCTAGCATGTCGACATGTACATACAAAGATCGCAAAAGTCTAGTATCCCGACAGATTTGATTTCATCATCATGTGTCGCTAGAGAATAGTAAAAAGATATAGGCAGATATAGGTATCGTAATCTGTTGTCAGTCGTCTCTCATAAAAGACTCGCATTTCCTTCAGATAATCTTAACGTATCTGAGTGTTGTGTCGTTGAAATGTATTCTACGATATAATTCAACTTTTTGCGAGAGAAGTCTTCATTTCGGTGTGCTGCGGAAGCGCAGTAAAGCGTGCGACGACGGCCACGCGCCAAGGGAAAAGAAATCTGGGAAAACACACCGGCGTGTGCTTCGGCCGCGAGAGCGAAAAAAAATCAACGAAAATGAAAAATAGCACTCGAGTGAATTAGCGCGAGCACTATATCGCGGCGGCAGCGTTGGCGGCGTAAATGCACGCGCTCGTTCTAATTTGCGTCGACCTGGCTGGTTGCGCTGCGCGGCAGAAGGCTCCACGTGCACTTACTTCGCGCCTCGACTTATTGTCATTAGGCTGACTTATGGAGCCTGGCGTCGCGATGCGCGCGTTTAGCTTGATGAAAAATCCATACGGGGCTGACTAGCGGGCGCTTTTAACCTACCGCGAGCTCGTTCCTACATCGCTTTACCATTCAACGCGCTCGCTAGCGAAATTAACTGCGAGCAACGGCGCTCGGCGCTCGGCGAAGATGAAGATTGCAGAGCTCGGTCGGCGGATCAAGGTGCATCCGAGGCAGGCAGCGCGACCGTCAGTCCTCGGCGCTGCCGAACGGTCGCCGACGGCGCCGCCCCCGCGGCTTCCGTCATCCGCCTACTGTCGCGGTAATTAGCGCGCCGATTGCGCCACGAGTGCACTCCAAGGCTCCTCGCTCCGCGCCAAGCCCTCGACTCGCTTGTTCGCGACTCTACGCTTTCCCATATCCGATATACACTCGCCGCGCGTCTGCGCCGGCGGATCAATTTCACGTCTGCAGCCTTTAAAAGCAAACGTTACTCACTTTGCGGGAGTAGCGGGTCTCCTCTCTGTTTGTTCCTCGGCTGGCCAGTAGGAAGGAATTGCTTGTAACTCGAGACGCTCGATGGATACGGAGACAAGAGAAACACACACACACACACACACACGCGCGCGCGCGCGCACGCACGGCGATGCAGTCTGCTGGAAATCCATCGCTGCCCCTATTCTCAATTTTTCAATGGCAATCGGAAAAACAGATCCGATTCGATGCTTTTATTCGACGAGAGTTGTACGAGGCGAAGGGTCGTATCCGAGAGTGCCCCTCAAAGAAAAAGAGAATTGGAGTGACAGGCGTCGCGCGGACGCGCGAAATAAACGATCGGGAACAGAACGCGAAGCGGAGGCTGGCTCGCGGCAGGGTGCGAAAACAATCGAGCGTGTAGTGCGCATCACATTCGGGCCTCCGCGCGCGCCGCTCCGATAACTCGCTCATCGAATATACGGTAGCTGGGCTGCGGTCTCCGCATCTCATTGCCGCTCGCGCGCCGCGGTGAGCCTGCAAAACAACTCGCGCGACGCCGTGTGGCCCGTCGACACGCGACGTCATTTCATGCCTGGCTCGTCGGCTGCGGTATTAAAACGCTACAACGCGACGCGTCTCCTACGAATTGCGCGCGCGGCAAATGGGAAAAGAAATCCCGCCACGAGATCGAGACGGAAGAAGTTGTCTGGCAAGAGTTCGCTCGCGCTTGCTGCCGTTAACAAGGTGGCGGCAAGCGCGTCCAGTGAGCGTCGTTTTCAAGTTTGACGATTTACTTTCAGAAGCGATCCTTGCTAAATCGACGAGCGTGAACCAGTTTTCATTATTCCAGTACAATTGGACGTCCTCTTCTCAGGGCTTTTGACTTTCATTTGAATTATAATCATAATGCTTAAATGACGCGGCAGATCGACCTTGTATCATTTGTGTTTTGTATCGTTAGTTCGTTTTCGCAATACATTTAAATGCGATGCACCTCTAAATATTCATGCGCGCCGCAAATTTTACATTACAGCTCGAGCTACTGGCTCTGTGTACCTGTTTCTTCTTTCCGTTGTGCAAATGACAATTAAATTGAAAACAACGTCGTGCAAAAATTACACAAAGATTTTCGCATTTCGAGTAGCGAACGCCCTGCAAAATTAAAAGTTATCTAAGTGGAAAGGCTAATTTAACGAACTTGAAAAAACAACAAACTGACAGTAAAAAACTTGTGCAGTAAAAGCAATCGACAACTATGAGACCTTCAGTAACTTTAGCCAAGTATGGCTGAAGTTGGAACGTTCCATAGTTCAGTGAACAGTCGGCACGCAGAGAAAGCAGCTAGGTTGCATTTGAAAACTTTTGTTCGCGCTTTTGTGCAGCATTTCACACACAATTCGTCATTGCAGTTGCGAGCAACACGTTCGACTTAATCAAATTGACGAGTCGTGAGCAGCGCGCTGCATAAAGTTGCCCGCTAACTCGTACAAATTTGACCAGCAATTAAAAGCGGAAAGCTCGGCAAGAGAGACACTCGAGCGCCGTCGTGACGCAAGCGGCAAATGGCATTTGGAGCGAAAATAGCCAAGAGGATCAGACGAATCGGTTGGCGAAGCGCCGACCTCGGAAGGAAAGAGCCGAGAGGCTTGACGAGCGCAGAAGAGACGCCGCGGCTGATCGAAAGCGCATCAGCGCTGCGATCGAACGCGAAAGAAAAGAAGGCGCTCTCGCGGACGGCGAGCAATTTCCTTTCGCGCTCGCGCTCCAAGCGAAACAGCAGGATTCTCGCGGTGGCAACGGGGCCAAAGCTTCGGAATTCAATGTCCTCGCAATCTCTCGGGAAAACGCATCGCTCGTTCGGACGAACAATCGCGAGCCAGCGACGGGTGGCCCAGTCCGGCGGCCTATTAAGCCGCGCGCGCGCGCGCGTCCAGCGCACGGGACCGTAGTGTGTCGGAAGCGAACGTCGAGCGTCGAGCTCGCGGCGCGCGATATGCAAGCGGGAAATCGAGTTTCGCGAAACGGCCTCGTGCGATTCCCCGACGAGCGCCAGCGCCGACAAACTCGGGCGCGCGGAAGTTGACTGGCGCGCTATCGTCCGACCCCATAGGACACGCCGCTCGGCAGCAGTTGCGACTCGGTCTGAAATTCGGCCTCGAAGCCTAACGACTATGTAATTTCTCGGGCGATTAGCTCGCGTCAAAGGGTTGGCGTACGCTGGGGGCATCAAGTTTGCGCGCACACGCTTAATCGTATCGAGGACGAGGGACGCGCGTACAGAACGCATGTGGCAGCGCTCGCGCCTGGCCGCGAAAGCTCGCTGACCAACGCGGCGATCGCTTAGCCAGCCGCGTCTTCTTTCCCATTGCACGCTAGCCTCACCAGGGAAAAAATCCATAAAACGCACTATAGCCGTCCTCTTCTTATATAGCGAATGTCGACTATAATCATTAATTTTTTTGCTTCTTGCGCGTTTATTATCATCGACGTTTCCCCGCCCTGCCCAGTTCTCTCCACTCTACGCGGTCGATCAAAAAGAAATACAATAACGATACTGCGCATCACATGTTGGGGCGCAATCAAAGAGTCGTAAATAATTTAACGCTTCGGGGGAAAAAAGGGACGGCGAGAGTTCGCGTCCTTTGAGGCAGGGACAGAGGAATTTTCCGCGACGCAGCAGCTAATGGCAGAACATATCAAAGGCAGCTTTCAACGCGGCGGCTGTAATTCGCGGCTGCCCGACGTCGCTCGAGCTCTCGCGGAACTCGGCGTGATAGGCGCCTCTGAGATTTTGCCCGTTTGAGAACAAGCCGCATTCCTCCGCAGCCGCAGCTACGCACTTTCGGGGGAGGAGTGGGGAGGGGGGGGGGGGGGCACTGGAATTCCGCAAATTTTAAATTTGCGCAAAGCGGGCTGTGGCTCGAATATCGCGGGGCCATAGAGCTGATCTGAACGCCCTTTGGCGTCCGTTCGCGAAACGTCGCGGCGTCTAGTGGGCGCACCGTACTCGTAGGTGCCCAGTGAAATCAATAACCGATAGCACGATCGACAGAAAGGAATAATGCTCGGGCAGCTAAACGAGTTTGTCGAGCGCGAGAGCCGTTAACGAGCGCCGATTGTATTTTCCTCGAGAGATCGAAAGAAGGAAGAAGAGCCTTTTACGAGGGCGCGTGTCGTAGGCGGCGCACGCGAAGCGACTGTCACTCGTTCGAGCGTGATGGAGTGCGCGAGAATGAGATTTTCAAAGAGGACTCGCAAGCAACCTCGCGAGATCTTTCGTTGCTTGAGTGGCGACACCTTGGCAGCGAGCGATATCGTCTGCTATATGCTTATTGAAGCACAAGTGGTATTGTTAATCTTTTGACCGATGTGACGTGGCGCGGACACTGTGAAAAGAGAGCTTGAACGTCGCCTAATCCAATTCGAAGCTCGCCGCGTGGGCCAACAGAACGACGAGAAATTAACGCATTACGAGCTTTTTCCCTATTCGTTCTGCTAATTATTCCATTTTTTACGGGCTTTTATTTCCTACTCAACGTCGATCCCCCGAATAAGCTTCATTTTTCTTTCTCTTCCGCGATCCTCGACAGCAAGACGCCATGCAAATCCACCGAACAACGGTCCATTTTGATGATACAACTATCGCCGCTTCGCTCAATTTTCGTTTCTTCTGCAAGATGCTAGCGGGGGAATCAGACTCAATGTAGCGCGACAAATGTTTTGTACTCAACCGTGAACCGAATGTGGCAACTAACGACTACATTATTATTCAGAGACGCACTGGAACTCGCGTAGGAGCTGTATGAATGATTAGCTTATTTT